GAAGGCGATCAGGACGATGTAGTCTTGAAGGATCAAGTCCACACAGAGCAAGCTTCTCAGGTCGTTGAAGACACTAATGAAAAAAGAATCATCAGTATAATTGCTACAAACATGGAGATAGTGCAATAGCCATCCCACAATTCAAATATATTTTACATCTGCTAAGCATAGATACATGCCTGTGAATCAAAGCCCTGGCATGTCAATAATATTCTAGTACCTTCGAGTCCCTGTGTAATAAAAGCTCAGAACTGTTAAGGTAACATCATGAATTAGTATGCCTAATACTTAAGCTAACTTGTTATAATTAGTAGTACAAACAGACCATAAGACTAATACAGGGAGGGGGGAAAAAAAGAAAAAGAAAAAGAAAAAGCGTATAGTCCATTCAACCAGGAAACATAAAACTGGAAGCTTTCCAATGCCAGTTTTAGTTGTTTTAACCTAATACAAATGGATGAAGTAATAACAACCTATGACTCATGCAAAAGAATCTCTGGTTCCATGTTCATATTCCTAACAAATTAAAATAACATTTTGTTTACTCCATTCACAAAGCAAGACGCACCACAAGAGTGCTACACATAAATGTGTCACCTTCCCAAAAAAATTAAACTACTTTATTTGTATTCCTTGTGTGGTCTTGAAGAGAGGGAAGAACCAATGAAACCTGATTGACAAAAACGTCCCAAAATAGGGGCCCAACAATTGATGTTTCCCAATTGTGTATGTGAACAATATCGGGCTTCTTTCCTGATTTCACTAGATAATCCAGCGATGCACGAGAAAAATAGGTGAATCTAGCAGCATGAAGAAGTTGTTAGAAGACCACAACAAAAGCTTATGATTGTAATTATCCATGATACAAAATAAACAAGAAATAATCAGCTTATGCTCATGTATTAGGGACAAAATGAAAATATTAGGGTCAGAAATAACTGATTTTCCAGAAGAAGACTTCAAGCTACATGAGTGTGTCACCATTAGAAATGCTCAACATATGACCAAGTGAACAAATATTGGAGATGTCTACAAACCTTTCAAAGTCATTTCCATATCCATATACTCTCTCATGACTGAAAAATGCTGAATAGTAGACTGGTTGTATAAATGTAACTCCAATGCCAAAGACAACCCTGTTTTCCAATCACTTAATTGATAAATAAGAGACTAAAACGGAAAGAAAACTGTAGCTTCTGTGTGTCTGTATATTGTTTTGCAGAATTTCTTTAGCTCCCAATAAACACAACCCCACTTCACAGAAAGACAACTAAACAAAGACAAACACCATAATTCCAACAGACGACACAATATAAGATAAAACACTGCAAAAATTCATACTCACCCAGTCCAGATTCTGTTTTTATGCAATTGACCATTAAAAAATGAATAGACTTCTGCTTCAACTTCTCGAAGACCTTGAACTTCGTCTAAATTTAGGCATGCATACCTGGTTGAAGCATTATACCAAGAATTGAAGCATTATACCAAGAATCAGATGCTTTCAGATGAGAATTAAGAGCAAGCAAAACATAAGTGCTCCTTTTTCATTGTAGAAACTGCATTACTTAAAGTTACATCGTCTACAAGTCGGTGCTTGTTCAACCACTCTGTTTTAGGTCCTAGTGATGAAGAGATGCAACAGGTTTTCTACAGCATGAGTGCACTTAATCAGTTATGATTCCTTGTTCTGGCCCAAATAAATTCACATATGCCAACAAGGACGTAAATCTTAATCTTAGTGCTGAAAGTTGCCAACTGATCGCAAGGGTGATAAACTTCATGAATATACTTGTGCAAGGGTACAGAAACCAAAAGTCACATGACACGATTTTTTAATGCAGATAGAAATGTAATTAATATTTAATACTATTAGGAACCTAAAGCAAAGACCAAAAAGTTGTTGAAACAGACATTTAAGTAATCTAGATTGCAAAACATAACTAGAAGTTGCAAAACATAACTAGAAGTTGGTCTACCTTTTAATCAAAAGAATGTCTCCAGCAATGGATAAAGGAGGTTAAATGAAGCTAGTCAATTATTGTTTTACTTGAACATCCGCAATAAGAAATGTAAGCAAAACTTAAAAACTAAGAGAATGCCGTGATTACTTGGGCAAAATGACCTCGACCACATGTCCCTTTCTCTGCAGAGCACAGGATAGTCCTGTAACATAAGATGCCAAAGATCCCACAGAGACCACTGGTGCCATTTCAGCAGAAATGTGAACTATGTGGAAACCCTTCCTGGATTTGAAAAAGATGAGGATGCATAGAAATCAAAGAATAGCAAAAAAAAAAAAGCATAAATGATTAGGGATAATATATATTATCCCCTAGGTGGATGTCTTCAATGTGAAAGTGGCAAAAAAAGGGAGAAGGGGGAGGTCCTATCCCATATGGGGAAACACTGTAGATGTGAGATGCATGGCTTTTGAAAACAGGAATCCAAGAGTTAGAATTAGACACAGGATCTAGAAGAATACCTTACTTTTTACTTTTGCTGGAAAAATGGCGCAATTCCACCAGAAGTTCAGAATCTTTCTTGTGCGTGTTTTGAAACAAATTAGCTGCTATACTCATTCTTGAATTCATGACCAGCCTTCTCAAGTCAGAAGCCTCCGCATTATCAATCATTCCACTTAGAACCATTGAATCAATCCTAAGCAGCAACTCAGAGCTAATAGAAAGTGTATCCATTTCTGGTCACAAGATTAACAAACTGCATTAGAAATGTTAAAAACCTGAATAAAAAGATATCCTGAGAACTCATAATGGTTCATAACAAGAATAATCAAGCAAGATATCCGACAGAGGAGAAGACTCCATTTGGTTGGTCGTTAAACGCACTCTGAAACATTGATTGAGAAAGTTACTCAAATAAAGCACCAGAATATATGTTCATGTGGAAAGCAGTTTGAGTATCATCCCGCATTTAATTGAGCATCTTTATGAACAGCACCTACTTCAGACATCTAACCCTTCTGTCAGTGGTCCTTTCTTGAATAGGCCATTCCTAAACCCATCAAACTGATCAGAGATGGTCTACCCAAGCATGACCAATTCTCTAGCCGGGGCTCTGGGCTGTGTTTAGGCTGCTCAAAATTATTGTGGATCTAGCGGGTCTAGAAGAGCAGAATGAAACCAAACTTGCTATGTTGCCTCAGTTTCTACGAGTATAACAATAATAATGAGCATGTGATGTAATGACCATTCATGGAATACAAGTGGAGAATTAGTTTCAGAGTTTCATATGACTGCCAAACGAACGAGGTCAAAACAATTTTTACGAGAGGAAACTTTTCAGAATAGCAGAGAACCAAGTATTAATCCTACAAGGATTGTAAAGCAGAAATTCAGGCTTTACAGCTATAATCACCTTTTTCGGTGTTCAACAGCATTTTGGCCTCCAATTGCTCTATCCTATCAAGCAGTGCCGTGTTTTCCCTCTTCAGTTCATCCAGTTCTTCCAATGCCGTGAGTCGTTGTTTATTCAAAGACAATATATCTGAATTGCGTAGCGAATCAGAAAATTAAGAGTAGAAAGAAACCAATATGTGGCACGCAATTAAGGATAGCAAGAAAAAGAATAGCAATTGAGTACTCTGTTGTGCTTCTGTGAAGAGTTGCCATATATCATTCTGCTTCTCTTTTGGTGCATGATCCATAGACTGCGGAAGATCCTGCAAGGGAATGAGAAGCAGTCATTTTTCTAGCTACACTTTAAATCTTTCACCAACTCATGCAAGCAACAATTTCTTACCTTATGGACATCCATGTCATCATGTCTTTCCACCCTAAATTCCACAATGAAACGCAGCAAGTCACGTAACATAAATAAGGATGCAAAATAGTAAACAAAAGAGAAAAGCTAAAACAGACCAATATTTTCAAAAATAGAAAAAGAAGAGAAGGAGCTCCTCCAAAAAACGTGCCTTTTTGTCTTGCTTTTCCGATGTTCATTACGTCATTTTCCCGGGGGCGGGGGGGGGGGGAATCAACTTAGTGCAGTGACTGTATAAGAGGCCACCGAAGCTGAACCTTAGGTGTTCTGGAAGCAATCTCGAAGTAAATTAATTACTATTACTTAGGCTGTACTCAAGTTAACAGAAGCCCCAACAACTAATCACGCTCTCGCGAACTTGTATATACATACTCTATATCGATGCTTAATCCTCCAGAATATGTTAATGTGACGCCCGCATATGCGCTTATATGAACGTTATCAACATGTATGATGAGTGAATGAACGTACGTGTGTCTGTGTGTTTGTGTGTGCGAGAGAGAGAGAGAGAGAGTGAGAATCTATATCAAGAAGGGAGTTTGACGAGAGAGTGGTAGTAGTAACAAGTACCCCAAGCAAGAGGGAAGCCGAGCACCAAGGGGCTTGCGCTTCGTTGCACAGATTTTAGGCAAAGGAGGAAGCTTAGATAGCGGAGCATTTAACAGCAACTCCATTGCAGAGCGCCAGACTGCTATTATATTTCATTTATTCCGACCCCGAGCCATGGGACTACTGATATCACCGGATGGTAGATAATTTGTTTGGTCGGGACGTGGACATGTTGGTCACGTGAGTTTTGATGACATGGCAGGTCGATCATCACTTCATATCCCACACTTTATGGATAACATGGCTGCATCTTGGATCATGGATGTAATAAATGGGGCAACAAGCGCTCCTACTTCCTCGATGAAGAGTACAGTATATCCGATGTTATGAGACACGCGTCGCTGCGCCGAAAGGGCCACTTTTAACAAATTCAATTACTCTCTCGAGAATCCAACCAAATCAATGCCAAGAAGTTTGGTCTTCCCGTGATTTTTTATTCGTGCAGAAACTCAGATGGAGATGCTGCTGTAGGACTTCGGAAGCTTTTAACAACTAAAAATTTCCGCGCATCTTGCCCAGTACATTCCAACCATTTTCCAGCTCCCTCACAACGTTCCCAAAAAATAAATAAATAAATTTAGGAGCAACATAGCAGGGCAAAGGAGGACTTGCAAAGAACAAGTAATTCTGAGGATAAATATACACCTCTGATCAAATGATTTGCTACACCAGGATTAAGGGACCCAAAAAAGAAAAAAAAAAGGGAAAAAAACCTTGTAAGTCTATCTTTTGACAAAAATCATTCCTAATAACTAATAAACAATGGAGCCCTACATCGAAACCACCACGTCGGGCTTACAGATGAAATATAAAAAGACTAGTAGAGAGCAATTTTTCTCTACCCCTCTTTTCTCCTTCCTCTCGCTTCACGTACTTGGGCTCTCAGCAAAGCAACAATTACACAATTCCTGTCAGATTAGCGCATTTTCTGGTCATCGATGGCTTAACTTGCGTTTTTTGGCTTCCTTGCGCAAGCGCTCCCTTCTTTCTTCTTCTTCTATCTTGCGAAGCTCTTCTTCATCCTCTTGCCGAGCAATCCTCGCACTGAACGGTCAAAAACCAAGAAAATTTGCGGTTGTCAACCTCAACAATTAAAAAACTAGAAACCCGTACCAGCGGGAATAGGAATTCTCAAAAGAAAACCATGGTAATACATCTTTATATTCATCAACCACTGGCAACTAACAGCAAGAGAATAAATAACTAAAAAGCATGCTATTTCAAAGGCCTACTAACCTTCTCTTTTCCTCCCTCTGAATGTCATCAAAATTAGCCTCCATGTCACTATCATCGTCAACATCCTCATACCTACTAGGATTATATCTGAAAGAATTCACACATAAATATCAAACTGATATTTAGTCACCGAAACATAGAACTTCTGGGCTTGGGATAAGGTAAGCCCGTAAGGAGGAGGTATCATAAGGCAAGTCTCTTTATCCAAATCATGGTTTTGAAAGAAAATGTTAAAAGATATGCAAGGTAATAAGACAATCTAATAGCAATTGGACGAAAATTTTGACAATAGAAAAGGACAAAAAAAAGAATACCCGAACATATTCCTGATCATACGCAAAGCAGTTTCAGGATCATCTTCATCATCTTCATTGTGTCTTGCGGGCCTCTTCCTTGGCCATTCACCTCTTGAAGCATCCCGAGCTGAAGGTTTTGGTGCTGGTCGCAATACTTGCTATAATTTGGGACAATTAAATAACAGCAAAAAAGTTAGCCACCCAGCGTCTAGGTTTTGAACTACAGAAAATCAAACAACTTATTCTTAAATACAAGAATGCAGTGCAGAATGCAGTGCACCAGGCAGTTGAAATACAGCATTATTTCTTACTAGAGATAAAGAGTAACTGACCTTAGGTTTTAAGGGTGGGATGGGTTGTTTTGGTAATATCTTTGGCTTTCCTGGTGCCTGGTGTTCCTCCTTCCTCGCAGAGGACTGCTTTGAAACAGAAGTCGGCACTTTTGAAGGATTTGGTTTGTGAATGCCAGGAGCAGAGGTTCTTGCAACAGGAACCGAAGCCTTCTTATCTGACGTACTTACTGAAGGCTTTGGTGGCACACTCTTTGACACCAAAGGCCGACCTGGCCCACTACCATTACTGTTGGGCTTTGTTGGCACACTCTTTGACACCACGGGCCGACCTGGCCCAATACCATTGCTGATGGAAGGCTGTTTTCTATGATCTGCTAACACACCATTTTTTCCACTGAGATGTTTCCCAGACTCTACTGATGGCCGAACCAGCTTATCCCTGGAACCAAATTTCTCTGACCCTACTTTAGGCTGCATTCGGTTAACAGCAGCTGTAGGTTTCTTATCCTCGCGACTGCTGGAAACTTTTTGTCCATTAATGCTTAAAGAGTCTCTGCTTCTTTCTGACAATTGTGCAGAGCGCGCCTCTTCAACATGATCAAAAAACCTGTATAAGTTTTCCTCGTGAAAGTACAAGTAAGGTTTGATGGAAACTGCTAGATACGTCAAAGAGCAGCAATGTACCAGGTTTTTGGGCAGAAATACTATGAGGAACTTTTTTTGGCACAGGAAGCTCAGCATCATCAGCTAATAGAAATGAGTAATCCCTGGTATTTTTTAGCATCTCGACTTTCTTTTGTAGCTGCGATGATAAAATTTTCAGATGCAAAGCCTCCCAAATAAAAGAGCACAACAGCACATCATACAAGCGAAGGGGAAAGAGGAAGCATAAATGCAAAAACCAAAATATTACCCCATTTGTAACTTTTGCTCGGGGGCCAGCACCAGCTTGAGACTTTGACACAGATGAGGCTGAACCAGAGCTCTTGTTTCCCTGCAGGGAGATCATGGCCCATCCACAGCATTAATTTCTTAAAGAAGGATACGGAAGAAAATTTTACATCATCAGCAAAGTCACTAATATGCACCATATCAGTTTAGTTCACTAACAGTTGGTTGTATACTGGAATCTAGATTTAGTAAGCTACCATAGAGTACAAGTCATGTGCAACTAGAGGCTGAAAATAAAGGTTGCATCTCCATTCAATGATGAGATATGTCCTTCAACACATTTAAAAGTCAACCTTTGCTAAATCCGACATGAATTATAACTTCGATGGTCTTAACCCAAACTATGGCAGAGCCATCTCTGTTAAATTGTATGCTAATCATTATAAAAGCCAACCTAGAAGTTCCTTTTAGGATAGGTAATAACCATGCACAGCAATTTCAAACACTAGGAACCAAAGCCAACACCAAGTTCTTAGCTGAACAAACTTTCTCGACATACACTTTGATTAAATTTAATGACTCTAGCTGCCAAATCCGGGTTCTCAAGTAATGACTTGCTTTCTTCGATCACTCTCTGAGCAATAACTGGTTGTGAAGGTCCAAAAAAGGAACCATAACTGCACCACAAGAAAAATTAAATTAAATTAAAAAAAAGATCAGTTAAAACCTTGCAGCTCGGAATGTATTTGAATCTTCAATATTGGAGAGCAAGTGAGAAGTGTAAAATCATTGAAACTGCCAAGAGATGCACAATTACAGTAGGTGTCAAGAAATACATTGATCAATTATAATTTATTAGTAATTAAATGCCAAGCAAAGATCAACAAAAATAAACTGTAGGATCCCAGCATTCGTCAAGTTCAGAATTGCACCAATTTCTTGCATTTCAGTCGTTTTGCGCACTTTCCAACACAGTACTTCAGTCTTTCAGTAAACAAAGTAGTAGCAACAAGGAACCGATGGCAACTAAATCAGATACACTGCAACAATTGGCAGATATCCTAACTTTGCAGTTGAAAAACTCCACTATATAATTGGACACATACGCATCTTATTTTGCCAATTCTGTTCATTGTTATTTAAAGCTCTACCTGTTTAAATTCTTGAAATCAGAGAATACATGCATTCCAGCAAAATTATATCATGCCTACATTTATTTCTATAGTCACTGCAAGAGAAAAATTTTAAAACGAAGGATTGTCTCTACGTTCTGTACCAATTTGCAAATTTTCCTGTTTAAGTAGAATAGGAAATCCAGTGGTAAGTAACCCTCCATCATTACTGTCTGCTATTAATGTTAGATGTTATGGCAAATATATCAAAACTTCCATTCCCAGAAATATAGTACTTACGTATCCTTTGAGATCACATCCTTTGAGATCACATTCTTTTTCTCACGAGAACTGCCATTAGCAGTTCCCAATTCCTTCTTCAACTTCTTTCTTTTCTCTTCTTTTAATCGTTGCCTCAGTTCAAGATAATTCAACACCTCCTTGGCAGGCTTAGGATCGTCTTCCTCTTCATATTCATCTTCACCAGCATCTTTCTCTTCTTGCTCATCACCATCCTCCTCATACTCGTCTAAATCTTCATACTCCTGCATTAATAAAACTTCATTGAACATGCTACACACATCCATTAATGCAAAAGAAATGTGAAGGAAGTCAAGGCGAGCTTTCATACATCATATCTATCATGTGCTCGCATTGCTGCATGAACTCACGAGGCAAGATTTTCCAGACGCTTGCTCCTTAAAAACCTGAAAACAGCAATGCCCAATCAGAGTAAATAAAATCAGGGAAAGCTGAATTTTGGAGAACCAACACCAAGAAACCAAAATGTAGCATACAAAAAAAGAATTAAAACTTCCGAGCTTCTTATCCGTGTAAAGGACATAACAAATTCGACAATTTTGCATATACAACTTATCAAACCGTATTCAGAAAGGAGACTATACCAAAAACACCACCTAAATTTGACATTTTCACTACGTGGATAAATTTCAAATTTTCAAAATTGCAATACTTGAACAAATTTCTTGGCCTTCATCAGGTAAAAAATAGAAATACTTTTGAGGTTAAAAATGTTCCGCAATCCTCTCACTCTAAATCAGCCGTGAAACGAAAGATTCCTTGCCACTGTATCATTTGCGCAAGGAATCCGAAAATTCAATTTCAGTCAGAAAACCAGAACATAGGTCCAAAACCCTAATTACCGATAAGAAAGTTGACAATAGAAGTATTTTAAAAAAGAATCAAATCCCAATCAGCATTAGATTTCAGATCCATGATCAAGCGTTGACGTACCCAAAAATTGATAAAGGAACAATCGTGTGCCTCTGAGTCGATCAAAACCAATATAAAGCCCTAAATTCTCTTATATTTTGGCGGAAAAGAAAAAAGTCCAAACCTTTTATCTAAATCAGTCGGTTTCAGGCAATTCCCAGCTGAATAAAACCCCAAGAAAGAACAACGATCTACAATCGGTCAGCAAGACGAGAAGCCCCATATGAAAAATCAAGAGGAAAAAAAAGAAAAAGAAGATGAATCATTACCTCAGTTGATCCGAAAAACCTGAAAATCGGGTGGAATTGATCGAAATTGAACAAACGTGAGCAAAATCGAATCCAGATCCGAGGCGGCGATTGCTGAGAGGGGAAGGAAAGGATGATCGTAGAGAGCAAGAAGGCTTCGCCGAAGCATACAACATAGAAGACAAGATAAAGTGTGTAGGGCTAGAAGAAGGAGCAACGGAAGGACCCAGAAACAACGGGGATTCATGCTAACATGCGCATGGAGCGTGGTAAATAGTGGCAGCTGCAGCAGCACCAGAAGCCCAAACCCAAACCAGGGTTGGGTCTGAGACCGACTGTGGTAATGGTAGTTGGACATTTTCAGTTTTGGAGTCCGCGGGTCGACTCGTGCTTCGGACACATGTCTGATTGGATTTGGCTCTTTGGGGGTTTCTTCGACAAGTAGTAGTGAATAAATGGAGCCTATGGCGGTTGCGGTAACGGATGGAGTAATGAGAATTATGGCCTCCGTTGACTGTGTCGTGTTTTTACTAATTATCACAACCACTTTCCCCATCTCCTGCCGCAACATCAGGGCAGGATTTACAAGTGGTAGCAATTCCGAAAAATTTTGTACTCCGGGGTAAAGAGGTGGTAGTTATTTCCAAAATTGTAGGAGTAAAATATTACTATATTCAAAAAGAATAATTTTGATGGATTTTTTAGATAAAACTTTTTAGATAATCACTAAGATGGACTCAATGGTCAATGAAGTGCATTTTTCCGTTGTCATGCTCAGGGTTTGAATCTTGAATTTTGAAATTAAGAAAATAAATGGTGTCGACTGATAAGTACTAGAGTGAAAAATGGGTGTTGGGAGATGATCAGTAGGGTGAAACTTGGATTTTGGAATTAAAAATAGGAAGGGTGTCAGGAGATCATCAATGTGGTGAATTTTGAATTTTGTAGTTGAGACTTGAGAATAGGAAGGGTGTTGAAAGATAAATCACTGGATTTGCTTTAGCGATCTGCAATTGAGAATAGGAAGGATGTTGAGAGATAATGATTTTAGAATTTTGTGGCATGGTGATTAGTAGTTGATAATAGGAAGGTGTTGGGAGATAATTGCTCCGTTTATATTAGCTATTTCTTGGGGTGTTTTTCAAAAATTTTACCGTAATAGAGTTTTTAGATTATATTTTGGATATTTTTTAAGAGTATAAAAATTTCTAGAATATATTTTGAAATGTTTTTAAAATTTTAAAAAAATTTAAACTAATTTTTAAATGACCTTTTAGAGTACTTTTTAAAAATTTTTATTGTATTTAAAAAACTAGTTTTTGAAAAACAAACCCATCCTCTCTCTGACTCTCACTCTCTCTCTCTCTCTCTTAATTGAAAAGTTTACACACTTGAATTGATGAATGTGTTAGGCTGTATATGAAAAGATTTAGTAGAATACTAAAAGACACTTTACCTTCTTTTTTCCAATTTGAACTAGTAATTGTCAGTTCTCACAATATTGAGTAAAGTTTACTAGTGTGAGAATTTGTATTGTTTTCTCTTATTTTGCTGCTTGTGTTACAATTTACGCGTCCTTTACCAAGTGGATTAGATGTCCATCACTTATATGAACAGTTGAACAGTGACTGATTGTTTGCTGAACTCTTGCACACCATGCTATGTCTGATTATTTGCTAAAGTTTATTATTCCATAATTCTAATATATTGTATGCTCTCCACGAAACATAGGACTAAAACATGGTACAAGTGTTTTATTGAGAAAAATATGAACTAGTTATGGAAAGAGGAAATAAAAAATAAAAAACACCATCTTTTTCTTCACTACAAGCATTTCTTGCCTTTTTTGTGTGTATTTTATATACTTATTTTTTCTCTTCAAATATTCACCTAATATAGTAATTTTAATATGCTTAGAAAGAGAAGACATGTGTTTTTTTTTTTTTTTAATTTTGTTTCTATCGCACAAATTCTTCTAAATGTATATAGGATTATCCTTTTTATAGAGCAATTCAACCTTAAAAAATAATAAAAAAAAAAAGTCTATTGTGAACATGGTTAATTTCTTAATATCCGTTGTTTGATGGTTGCATTTGGTTCACTAACTACTACGTGATTATTTTCGTTCCATTAGAATCATTACCAAAAACATAATGCTATATATTCACTTGCGCTAATTTATACTAGGAACAGAATCAGCCATCCAGTTCACAGGAGCTGATTTATTTTATTTCAGATTTCACCAAGGGAATGGCGTGAGGCACTCTTGTCTCACAAAATGGGAAGGGAATAGGACCGCTAGCTACTTATTTGCATCAATTGTAGCTTTTTTTCTATTCTTACATATGAGGTTCCAGTACTCATTTCTTCCAACATGTTAGAATACAGGACCAGCAGCCAAAATCTCTTCTGCCAAGTTGTTATCTATCCCGATCTTGTGGCTTACGAATACTTCAAAGTTGTTCTTGAAAAGGCCAGCTAGCTTCAGCAGTGTTTCATTATAAGCATCCTTGTCGGACCACTACACCACAAGATTGAAGGATGTAACTCGAACATGAATGGTAAGCAACAGAATGAAAGACTGGTAAAAAATGAGGACAAGTTAGTCAGAAATGAAGAATAGAAATCGTCAACTAACAGTGTTCACGGGATCCAGAATATCAGAAGGCACTCCCTCAATCTCGGATGGAATTTCAAGCCCAAACACCTCAGTCTTTTTGTAATTTGCATTCAAAAGACTTCCTGAGTGTATGGCATCAATTATTTTCCGTGTATGCGCCAACTTTATACGGCTTCCTACACCGTATCTGCAAGAGAAACAAGAGACAAGCATTAGCATAATTAGTTCTGCAACAATGTTGTATGAAGTTCTCAGTTAAGTTTACACGTTAGGAAATTGAATATTCTATTTGTGCTACTTGTACACATGCATACCTTCCTCCCGACCAACCAGTGTTAACGAGCCACCCTGTTGCACCGTGTTTCTGCATCTTTTCAGCCAACATTGCAGCATACTTAGTAGGATGCAACATGATAAATGCTGCGCCAAAGCATGCAGAAAATGTAGCCTGGGGCTCTTTTATGCCATCCTCCGTGCCTGCAACCTGTATTTAAGAATATTTCCGTGAGAATAAAGCAAGTTAGAGATACAAAACGAAGAAAAGAAGAGAAGGGATCTCAAGAAAGCTTTGTATTGCACAATCGATATTGATGAATTTGCCTTGAGAAATTAAAGGGTACTCTATGAAGAGGGATAGATACCAGAGCAGTGTAGCCGCTGATGAAATGGTACATGGTCTGTGCCAGGCTCAGCTTGCTCACAGGGGGAAGAACACCGAAGGCATCACAAGCCAAGAGTATGACGTTCTTTGGGTGTGGGCCAACACATGGAAGTTTTGCGTTAGGAATGAATTCAATGGGATAGGCTGCACGGGTATTTTCTGAGGAAACAAACAAGCAAGTTTATTGAGCAGTCAGATGTTCATAAAAATTTGACACAAATTATCTTCTACATCATTTATTAAGCAAGTTCAAGATCTATGCGCTCAGATTTTTCCGTCAATAGTGACTACTTAAATCAAGCTTCATCATTTTTCTAGAACCAAATCCAACATTGGGAATTTAGTCTCCAGGCATAAATTGTTTGACTATTGGCTAGCTATCCCTCAAAGCATAATGTGATGGATACAACGACTATTAGAGGTCAAACTTGCTCACTACACTAACCATTTTGAACTGACCCCATCCCACCTAGTGTTTAATATTATTAAGCTTGTAAACATTGTCAACTAAGGCTTAACTGCTTTCCTAATAACCACATATCTTCTTTTTCAATTGTTTTCCCCATTAGACAAATTTGGGCGGCCAAGATGAGGATATGCTTCATATAATATAATGTCATAAAAAGCAAAATCCAGTTAAGGACTGGATCACCAAGACAGTGAATTTCTTTTGCATTTATTACCTGTGACAGATTTATCTGTATAATCCACTTCTCTTGTATGCTCTTCGAATACCACATTCTCCAGCACTGGAAGCACCGGGTAATATAAATAATCATATAGAGAATGACATTTTTTAAGATAAAAAGATAGTCGATAACAAACTAAATAGAATTAGCTTACCATTGATCTTTTGATTTTGAAACAAAATGACGATTTGATTTATTTAGAGGTTAGAAGAGAAAGAGCAGTGTACCAGTCCCAAACTTAATAGCGTTCCAGATGTCAGGTTCCTTCTCCCTTGAGAGATCAATGCATTTGGCATAACAACCACCTTCAATGTTGGCCACCCCAGTGTCACTCCAACAGTGTTCATCATCTCCAATTAAAAATCGATTGTGATCAGTAGACAGAGTAGTCTTTCCGGTCCCTAGATGATGAAAACAACGGGAAAGAAAACTCAGTAACTAGAATGGATTACATAAACAAAGCTGTATCGTCACCTTCAATCAGTCGTGAAGAGCTAAAGGCAAGAAGAGATAAACTAGCTGGCAAAGGATACCCACACATCAGAAAATCGATCCAATGATACCTTACCTGACAATCCAAAGAAGAGGGCAACATCTCCATCTTTGCCCATATTGCTACCAGAGTGTAATGAGAGAATTTGACGTTTAGGCATGAGATAATGCATGACACTGAATAGGCCTTTCTTCATTTCCCCAGCATACTGGGTACCGAGGATGACCATTTCCCTTCTAGCCAGGTTTAAATCTATGCTAGTAGACGATGTCATATAATGGGTATAACGATTACAGGGAAACTGTCCAGCATTGTATATAGTGAAGTCCGGAGTACCAAAGTTTTCCAGCTCTTCAGGAGTGGGTCGGATACACCTGCCACCCACCCAGTTATCCAATTGTATATACATAGAGCTAACGGTATTATGACACTTGAGAAACTACAGGCTTTTAAAACTTAATGACTATATCTTATAGCAGGGATTGTAACAATCTAGAAAATTTTCAACGGTAATTAAACTTATCTGGTAGGTTTAAACCTGGTAGAATGCAACAACAATATTGATAAATAAGGCCACTTACATGTTATGCATAAACAAGGAATGATAAGCTCTGGCAGAAACAATTCGGACTTTGATGCGATTCTGAGGATCCCAGTTTAGAAATTGATCATTGACAAAGACCTGGAATCGTTGTCAAATCAGGATATGTGATGATTCGGCTCAGCATTATAACTCTTATTTCTTTTTTGAACATCTAAAAAGCTTGGCAAGTGATTCAATCAGTTTTATGTTGTCTTAATCATGCATGGTGCAAAAATCGCACTGTGTTGTAGTTTTAGGTGCGTATGACTAACTAGGA